GAGAGAGAGAGAGAGAGAGAGAGAGAGAGAGAGGAGAGAGAGAGAGAGAGAGCTAAATTTAGCCCGCGTTGACAGCGGTGGTTAATTCTGGATTGAATAGAATAAATTTTCGGATGCCGCCGATCGCAATTTATAACCGCGCTCGGATCTATTTCGGCTATTTTAAGCCGAGATTAGCAACAGATTACACGCTGGTAGATTACACGTACGCGCGCCTGCCGCCGTCGCACGCACGCACGCACGCGCGCCTGTCGCCATCGAACGCACGCGCACGCCTGCCGCCGTCGCCGTCGTACGCACACACGCACGCTTGCCGACGTCGCACGCACACACGCACGCTTGCCGACGTCGCACGCACACACGCCTGCCGCCGTCGCACGCACACACGCACGCTTGCCGACGTCGCACGCACACACGCCTGCCGCCGTCGCACGCACGCACGCCTGCCGCCGTCGCACGCACGCACGCACGCCTGCCGCCGTCGCACGCACGCACGCACGCCTGCCGCCGTCGCACGCACGCATGCCTGCCGCCGTCGCACGCACGCACGCTTGCCGCCGACGCACGCACGCACGCCTGCCGCCGGCGCACGCACGCACGCTTGCCGCCGCTGACGTCGCACGCACGTGCGTCTGCCGGAGCCGACGTACGCGCCGCACCAGGTGCTCGTCGCATTCTGACATTTCAATGTCAACCGTAATTAGTTGGCAGCGCGTCGTTTGCGCGTGCGTCATGAATACGTACGCACGCGGGGTTTTACTGTCTCCCGCATCACGGCCGCGGGCGTTCCCGCGATGATGAGTCACCGCCGTCGACGATGCTAGATATAAATCGAGAGCGCGCGAACAGACGGGCGATCTAAAAATATATCGCGCGCGTACGCGACCGAGCCGCCGCCGTCATCGTCATCGTTCGGATTCGATTCTACGCGATTGGATGACGAACGGAGCACGTGCCGATATCTTCTCGAGAGCGAGTGAGTCGTCATATCACCGATGACTCGACGTTACTTGCTGCAAGCGTGTATGGATGGCTGGGTGCCGCCGCTTACCCGGGCGGCGGGGCGTCTCAATCGACGAGGAAGCCGCGAAGCAAAATAAAGCGCGAGCATTCATTGGCGACCGGCGACCGTCTCGATTACGTCAGACGCGCCCAGACGCTGAAATCGCCGACATTTTTCCGCGTCGAACGACGTCGAAGCTTTGCGAGCTTTTGTGGTGCGTTGACGGACGGATGCGCGCGTATAGATTGCAGGGGGGCAAGGCGCGGTTGCCTGCGCTGCGTCAACGCGCCCCGCCACAATTACTTTCAATTATGACGGGATCCGGTTTATCGCACTCCGGTTTACGAACTCATAGCAACGTAACATTGATACGGAGAAAGCGGTCAATCTTAACCCATACACACCGATGGAGCAACTGAGAGGCGAGAGATCGAGAGCCAATGAGAGAGAGAGAGAGAGAGAGAGAGAGAGAGAGAGAGAGAAAGAGAGAGAAAGAGAGAGAGAGCGAGAGAGAGAGAGAGAGAAAGAGAGAAAGAGAGAAAGCGAGAAAGAGAGAAAGAGAGAAAGAGAGAAAGAGAGAGCGAGAGAGATAGAGAGAAAGGAGACGAGATCAAGTGAGAGAGAGAAATGGAATGAGTATGAGATCGAGAGCGAATGGGAGAGAGAAAGATTACGAGAGAAAGAAAGCGATCGAAATGAGACAGAGATAGAGGAAACAAGAGCAAGAAAACTCTCTCTCTTTCCTTCTAGAGAAGGAAAAGAGTGCGATAGAGAAAACGATATAAGTGTGCGGCAATAAAAAATAGATAGATAAATACATAGATAGATAGATAGATAGATAGATATGTCCGCGCGCGCGCGCGCGTGTGTGGTTATCGGTGAATGTCTGTGTGTGTATAGGCTGTCGGAGTGCATGTGTTTGTTTGTGTGGATGCGTGCGTACGTGCGTCTGTGGTAGCTTTCCAACAAAAAGCGGAGAGGAAGAGAGCGAAGAGAGAGAGAGAGAGAGGCGTGAGCGATGGAACGCTAACTATGACTCTACGTTCGACGAAAACAACGTGCGCAGACGAGAAGCGAGAAAAAAAAGCGAAACATACCCATCAGCGAAATCCATAGCTCTAACCGTTCTGCAAATGTCTAAACAAGACGGTATATACCGCGCTGCGATCCACGCAACGGTCTAGCGTCTACATAAACGCGCCAGTGAAAAGCTTCGCACAATTGTTTCACGTCAGCCCGGTGGGAGCATCTCTCGCAGTGAGCAGCTAACAGCTGCTGCTACGCTGCTCTCTCTCGCACACACGCCGGCGCGGCCTCGCAGCGAGGCTCGAAAGCAAAGCGGCTATTTTCAATCTGAAAATAAATCGTACCGCAGCGTTAAGCGACTGGCGGGCATGGCCCGCGCGTATGAGAGGCTAGAGCCCGATCGGGTAGCGATCTCGCGAATTGTCGCGAAGAATGTTACGAATTAGGAAATCGCATTCGCCGTAACAATGGCGGTGTATGCCGACGAACGCATTTCCACACAAGTATATGGTCGAGTCAGTGTCCAAATTTTTGCGACTAAATACGGTTGTCGTGCATACGGTCACACCCGCTCCTGCTGCATTTCAAAACCAGAATACTGGCAACATCATTATTATCGTCATCATCGTTATCATTATCATCATCATCATTATCATCATCATCATCATCATCATCATCATCGTCGTCATCATCATCACCACCATCATCACCATCGTCGTCGTCGTCGTCGTCGTCGTCGTCGTCGTCGTCGTCGTCGTCGTCGTCGTCGTCGTCGTCGTCGTCGTCATCGTCG